AAAAGGTTAACGAACTCTACCCAGCCACAAGGACAGGGGATCACTATACACAAAAGACCAGCTAATGACACCCATCAACCGCAGGAATAGATAATCTCTTCTCCTTAGCACAACAATACACCCACAACAATACACACTAATCAGCCATCTACAGAAAAAGACAAAAGCCTATCTCACAGCCATAAATACTGCACTCCCAAAGCCAACAACACCAGAGGACAGAGTGCTGTCCTCTGAAGATGCCAGCCACAGAGACTGGTGAAACGTTAGGAAGAACAACCTTCAGAACACAGAGCCCGAAAAACCCACAACAACCATAAAGAACATACCCTCAGAGATATCACTGGATTGGGGTTAATACTAGTTACTTCCCTTGATATTTCTCCTTTTTAAAAAACTGCTTGCTCTGTTACCTATCTCTTCCTCAGTTCCAATCTGAATTGCTGTTTTGTGACCACTCTAAAATATCACAGAATTTTGCAAAACTGATGGGGAGGGAGGAGAAAGTCTGCACTAGAACTCCAGTATGGGAACAAATTAGTGTCTACTGATGAAATCTGCCTGTAGTACATGATTAGTGCAAACAAAAGCAAGTACCTCGTCTTGCACCATATAACTGACATACAGAATTCACTGCCAAAAAAAAAAATCTTTGCCATTACCTATCATATGGCTAATACCAAGCACAGCAATTGAGACAAAGGATAAGTCAACCAATTGTTTTTAAATAATGAAATGCATCCCATATAAAGTGAAGAAGCCACCTGAGGTAGCAGATGCTGAGTGGTATGGGATAGATAGAACTGTAGATACCACATGAGTTTATGCTTCCTAGGCTGATTTGTTGGCCTCAGCAGGTCCCGTCACGTCATCAGTGATGAAATAAGACTCAACCACCAGTCTGGTCAGTTTTTGTAAATGGAACTTTGTGAGGGACTACTGTTTTTGCCTCTGGTAAAAGTATTGATGTCAATAGACCAGTATTGATACTGATATGATATAGTGCTGGATAACGAATGCTGAGGAAGATCAACTGCTGAAGTTCATCAGCTTTATGCCCTTCTTTAGACCAGCCACATTTAGAAACAAAAGTCCCAGGCTAGGTGAACTGCAAGTTGATCCATACATTTTGTACTCCAGTTGGTAGTAGCACTAAATGTGTTTTCATTTGTATTTTCAATAGTGGATAATCAACTAGCCATAAGATAACAGAGCTGATAAGTTCTTTACCTTGAGTGCAGAAGTTGCTACTTAAGCAGGGCCAATTTGAGCCATGTGAATGGTAGCTGAGAGAAATAAAACATGTGATACTGTTGCCAAAGAGATGCGATCATAAATAACATCCCATGAAGACTTCTGCATCCTTCACTCTTAGGTCTACAAGGTTTTACAGTGTGTACAGCCACCCTATAGTACATTTCCCAATCCTTCTAACAGCCAAAAGGAAGCTCATGCTGAATCCAGTTGGAATATAATCATCATATTGAGTAAGAGCTTATAAACAACACAGCAGGGACATAGAGAACATACCACAGCTATCCTATTTTTGGTGACATTTCCCTGGCAAGAAAAATATGTGCTCTAGGTCTCAGTTTAGATTGTTAATCCTTCTTCAGGTGAACACATAGAGGTGAGAAAAGGGGCAAAAAGGGGATTCTTAATATCTAAAACTCATCAAAGTAATAAAGAAATTGTTTCCTTCTCTAGAGATCCATAAAGTTCAGTTACCAGACAAAATGTGCTTTTGTGGATAACTTACAATAACATTGAGATACTCACACTAATTGGTCCTGTCTTCTGGGAAAAGAGTGTTCCTTTGAATGAAATTAATGTCAACAGCCGACACAGCTATCACTTGATTGACCAAATCTGTTATGATTGTGTTTTACAGCTAGGAAAACTGTAGTACAGTAGTACAGTATTAGATATCTTCAAGACAGTCTGCCCGATACAGCAATAACCATCTTGTACATTCATTGATTCCAAAAAGAAAGATTTAAGTACATATTATCACTGAAATTGAAATGAATGAGATTTAAATGTGCCTAACTTCACCTAGATCATATTATTAATTATTATTAATTTTTATTATTTATACAGTGTTAAGCAGTAGTGTTTGGATATTATGGTGTCATCAGTGGTTTTTTTTAAAAAAAAAAACGACATTATATATCTTTAGGATAGAATCCACCATTATTTAAGTAAATGCAAAGACATACTTAAGTAAACAGCCTTAAATTCTTCATGTTGACCTCAAGCTTGCTAAGTACAAGGAAAACATTGTTTCCTTCTAATTAACAGGCTTAAAGATGCAGCTTGGCCTAGCGGTGAAACAAGCATTCTGTGCGGTACAGCACCCATATCTTCAATTTAGGTCAAGCCATCAAGACGATGCAAAGGACTGAAGACAGAAGATGAGATGCTCTATTTCACATATATGCCCTCTGGAAGGGCTGGCAAAGGCAGCCACTTAAATTAAGTACAGGTCATCAGACAAGATATTTAATGTATTCCTAAAACAGACAACTTCCACTGCTGAAATCCCTATGGCCTTTATGGCAACACAATGAACTACTTCCTCATGTACTCCTGTCAAGTCATGTTAGGTTCCTTGTTTTTTAGAAGTGATATTTCATGTACGCTTATGACTGGATTGCTCAGAGCTAGGAAAAGTGTTTTGGTTTATTTATGACCTACTAACCTTAAATAAAGAACAAGAAAGAAGTTACAGCCAATCTGAATGTTCTCAGAAGCCCGGAGATATGAAATGAACATAAAATAAATCTGGCATTTGTAGTGCAGGCCACATGGCCAATCCGCAGGGTTTCTTTAAAAATGAGAAAATGGAAACCAGATGAGAGAAGAAAGGGGGCGGGGAGAGACCTCATTGTTACCCTGTGTGTAATGGAAAAGGCAGACTGCAGAACTGAAGGTTTAGGAGAGAATAGGGATTTTCGGGTTGCACTGAAGGTGAGAAATAAACAGAAAAATTAATGGTAGCACTGAGATTTCAAATACTGGATTGAGAAAGAAAGAAGTAAGAAGCATTCAGATCTGTTGTTAGAGATCAAACATAATACGGAGAACCCAACTAAGGTCATTTGCTTGATACATTTTGAGTGAGTAAGAGGAGTCACAGGAAGAAAGCAGCACCTGAAAAAGAATAATATAATGAGGAGATGTTAAACATGACTGATTCTAAACCATGGAGTCTGTTTTCTCTATTGGTACAATAGTGAACACATAGAGATACATTCAAAAGCCTATACAGCTCAAATGACTAGGTTAATTCTTTGGCTTGCAGTGATGTGAATACAGAATAAGTGCAGCTGTGCTGAAATTGCTGCATGATCTTGAACTGCCAGTATGAGGGAAATCTGCAAGAAGTTTCAAGAGCTCTTGTGGAAAGACAGCCCTTTGTGTGTGTGTGTGTGTGTGTGTGTGTGTGTGTGTGTGTGTGTGTTTTTTTACTTTGGGTGCCCAAAGTTACACAAATGTGTGTGTAATGCTTAGGGGCTTTTCAGAACATAGGGAAATCTCACAGGTTATATGGCATGCAGTTAATTGAAATAATTGTCTAGAAAGCTAGGCATTAGGTTCTACTGGAGTAACTTGGGATTTTGAGCAAGACTGTAGATGTCTGTCAAAGGAATGCTGCTGAAAATGTCATTCCTACTGTGAGAAACTCCTACACACAGCATTTTGGAGTTCTCACCAATCTCTGTCTCCACTCCACTAATAGCAGTTCATGGTGTGAAGCAGTGACAGGGGAAAGTCACAAGACTCCATTGAGGGGACGGGAGGCCAGTAATGTAGGTGGCATTTGAGGTGGCATTCTGATCATGATATGCATGAACATGAAGCTGAAAAAATAATTTCATTAAGATGGTAGAGAAATCAATTTGTGTGTCACTCAAATACCATGCCCTAAATCCTATTCTGAAATAGAATTGTTGTAACAGGATGGTTTTCACCATTTGCTGGTTGTGCACCAATTCATATGCCTAGAGAATGAGAGATCATGTGACAGACAGGTGATATCATGCCTCCTGTTGGTCGCCTGGAAACTGTTAACACAGTAGGATTTTGCCCAGTTCATTTTTTATTAACAATTGTTACAGTTATCCTGAAATGATGGGACAACATACCTCTGGGTAAAAAGTTCCGGTCTATGTAGTAATCAATTGGATTTATGATATCTTGCTTTGAGTATGTAACTATTAAACTAAACTAAATGTAGTTCTTCTCATTATGCCTCTAGCATAACAATACTACTTTTTAGTCTTTCATCCATCCCAGCTGAACAACTACAATTGTACAATGAAACAATATTTATGTGCAGACGGTTTATACAAGTCATTTTTATAAACACTAAAGTCTTCCCCGTCTCATAACAGTAAAGACTTCCAGTCATTTTCACCTGACTGCAGAGTGTGGAGCCATTCTATCAGATTTTACAAAATGAAGTCTACACTCAAATGTGAAGTGTGCAATTCAGATTTCCATTTGGGCCACAAGAATGTGATGGAGTGAGAATACAAGAGTTACAGTATGATTATAGGTAGTTACAAGGTCATAGGATTAGTTTAGCTGTTGCGTATCCGTTGGGGGTTGGTTATAATAATTATTCCCAAATTATCTCCCAGGTGTTCTCACAGTACTCATCAGTTTTAAAAAAAAGCAGTATTAATACATTGGTAAATCTTAATGACAGAATTAGATTAATCCACAATTTTGAAACAAAAAGAATTAATTAGTGTTTAGTTCATAACTGGAAGACTGGTCAAATGATCTTTGCCAAAATAATTGAGCCATTAATCTGAAGTCAGGAATGTGCTTGAAGGACTCAGATAAGCCAGTGATCAAGGTGAGGATGTGGATTGCTTGCAGTACGGGAAATCATTTTCTAAATCTTTTTTGAATTGGAAGCAGCTACTTGTTTCCTCTGCTGCAAAGACGTTCAATAATTAGCTGGCATCTTTGTATATTTTCTGGCCTGTGTGTGAACCCCTCAGCTTGTTCAAATGTTTTTATAAGATTTTTTTGAAAGGTAAACAACTCTGAGAGTTGGACTTCAAATAGAAATTGACTGTGATCAAGACAGAAATTTTGTCAGCAAAATTACAGCCAATGTGGTGTAGTGGATAGGGTGAAGGAATAGGACTCAGGAGACCAGATTTCAAATAAGCCTTGGAGACAATGAGTGTGGGTATGTGACTGGTAAAGCCCTTCCTTTAATCTCAAATTTCTCACATATCTTTAATCTCCTATTAGGGTTGCTATACATTGGATACAACCTGATGGCACATAACAATACATACTTATACTTTGCACCTATATATTCTCGCAAAGGACTTGGACCAAATATTGATAAATCATTTGCACTTTGAAAGGAATTATCTTCATTCAGAGAAATTTTCCTCACTCTTGTCATGAAGATACTCACAATATTCTTATCATTATTTTTACCCCAGCTATGGTCTCAGGGTGCTTGTTATGAAGTAACGCTTCATTATCATTTGGATAAAACTTTGAGGAACAGGATTTTAGAGAAGCAGAACATATTTCAATATAAGTGAATAGTTGATGACTGTACTTTTACTACAGTGTACATAATATTTGTCTGAACAGTTTCCCCTTTCATTGTTACCAACTAGATTCTTTGTCTTATACAGACTTCAGAAATCAAGCCAACGAGCTGGACCCAAAGGCAAAGCTGTGGTTAGCTACATGGCCAAGAAGGAGCGAACATAGAGGACTAGCATCTGAAGTTAAAGAATTACAGTGTTTCTGTCCAATCCAAACACTTCATATTGCTTGAGGTAGTTCATATCTCCTATGAATGGGAAACAGTTCTAAAGCTTCTCCAAGTATCAACTGGCTCGGCATCATTCTTGAAATAGCTCACTACCAAGCTAAATATTACTCTCAGAGCATGAGAGTCTCAGTTTCAAGATCCTAAATTTCTGAATTCCAGCACTCACTAGACATTTGATTCCATTGAAATAAGCTTGGGGAAAGTTAGCCTTTCTGAGCCTGCAGCCTGCATTTTCATATGTAGCAAACTGAACTCTCAAGTTATAACAAATACTTAATGGCTTCTCATTTACTTTTAAGTTTTTATTCTGCTGTTAGGACAAGCAGTCAATTAGAAACAATCATCATGTGACACTTAAAAAAATAAGCCAGCTGTCCTGTTTGTGACAGGGGGTAACAATTGAATTGTATGTAATTGTTGCAGGGTGGGGAGGGCACCTACAAATAGCCTCATCATGGCACCTCACCCCCATAACATGTAGAAGAAGTTCACATGTTGAGCAGGGCTCTGTCATTTCAGATCCTTCTGTATCCCTGTTTGGTGTGGACCTGAAGGCATCCTGTATATTTCAACCCATCTGGGAACGGTATTAGAGGCCATTTTCAGCAGCATCCCTGTGACAACCATATAGGTGCTCCACATTTCTAAAAGAGTCAGATTAATTCCTCTATTAGTGGAATATGGCTGCATGGAAATTAACACAGAGTGGTTGTGTGACATTATTGTATGATAGCTTAACTAAAGCTGTTGCTCCTTCCACTGTCCTTAAACTTCCTAACTATTGGGAGGTGGCTACTATCTTGAGATAGAATGAATGGATTAATGTAGCTCAGTTATGGATATTTGAACCTGGATCTCCTTTAACTGCTATTCTTCACTTCCTTTATTCTTTTAGTGGGTCAATTTTTGTTCTAAAATAATATTTCTATTCTGAAAAGCAGCATTTCCAAAAAGAAAAAAAACAGATTAAAAGGATGTCACATTACATAAGCAATCTCCATATTATTTCAGACAGCCATGGGAGCTTCGGAAGGGATTACCTTCCTTATGGAAGGAAGCCATTGGCATGTACACTTCTTGTATCATTCCTTTGTATTGAAAGCCCAAGAACATGTAGAAGAGGCCAATAATATTGCCTAAGTTTTTCCCTAGTACGGTGGCTCTTTGCTTGTGAACTTGGGCTCCTCATGACACTGAAGGACACACTGTAGCAGCCCTCCTGCTGTTCAGTTTCCCTCAGAAAGGGACCTCAGCCATACATTGTATAGTTTTCATCTGACTATGCAAACTAAGTGGATATGCAACATGCCAAAACAGAAGAAATGCTTAGTTAAAACAGACTTGGCTGGATCTTGCTGAAATCTCATGGGACTAAGTCCCATTATATCCACTTGGATTTATCTATAGATTCAGCTGCCTAAGATTGGACAGTTCATTTTCTCCATGCCCTTATGATGTAATAACATGCTGATCTTAGTGAGTATGTATGTACTATAGTATATGTATTCCATTTATTTTATTGCATTCTCAACCAAGCACTAAACAGAGTTTTCTGGGGCATGTACCATCTGTATCCTATTTAGTAACAGCTATCTCATCCGGAAATCCAATTTCTGCAGCAACAGAGTATCACTATTAATATTATAGTACTACCCATATATTTAGTCTGTAACAACAAATAGGAAGATCTGTCTCTGTCCTGAGAGGCTTAAAATGTATATATCAACAAAATGGTGACAGCAGTGGAAATGAAGATAAATGTAAGCTCTGTTGCATGCATTCATAATCTGTTAAACAGAATGTGTAAGATAGGGGAGTCCCTTCCTCACTCTCTGCTTATGGAACACAATAACCTGGAGAAGAGTGTTTGCTCTGCTTATGGAAGCTCTTCACAGGATCAAGACCCCTGTTTTAATGGAAGATTTTCTTCTCAGACTCTTACTCATCACATGGGGGTAGCATGCACCACATCCTCTTATATTGGGCTTAAATCATTTATGAATGTCCCAGGTAGGATATATAGGGGGAAGAAAAGGGGATAGTTATTTTTCATGGAGTTCTTGGAAGTAGCAATATAATTATGAAATTCCCTCCCTTGAAAACTCGCCAGAGTTCAAATATGAAAATTCTCCTGGAAAAGATCAGTTGATTATATTTTGTGACTGAGAACAAATTTACCTGGAAGCAGATAAAATCGCTTTGATGTCAACTTTTCAAATATTAAAATGTTGATACATGTTGTCATATGTACAGATATTTGTGGTTATGCAGTGCTATGATCTGTCTGATCAACCCTTAAAATGGGGGCGTGAGAAAGAAAAAAGATATATAAGCAGGTATAATATAGAGGCCAAGAAACTGAACTGTGTACCAACTTTTCCACACTACTACCATGATCTCATTCTGCAGTCTAGGGCAATCCTACTGACATTCAGTCACCATTATTATAATGTTCCTGGTGGATCTGCTGTAAACATTAATTAGAACATTTATGTAAAGTTCTTGGAATACTTTAAAGTACATGAATGCTTAATAATAATAATAATAGTAACAACAACAAATCAGATCTATATTTTACTGTACATGAGTTACAGCTTTCTTTACTGAGAATTCTTTGATTTTAATGTGATGTATTAATGTTCAAGCAATATGGGGACAGGGAGTTAAAACTAACTGATCTATGGAATGGAAACCATTGTCCTTTTTTTTCTTCCCACTCTATTTCTCGTCACTCTTCCCCCTCTTCTTCAGACATTTAAAGATGGATACTGTGAAGTCCATGGAGTTCTGTTTCTTGTGGTTGCTTCAGTGAACATTCAACGCTGTCGGTGAGTTTGGGATTAAAGTGAAAACCATCGACCGTTGATTGTACCCTCCAGCTAACCATCCTCCTCCTTCCTTCATGCTTTCAGACCCTTCACTGGATACAGTCACAAACATCCGCACAAAATACTTGTTTTGTTTTTGCCTTCCTTTGCAGAGCCTCACAACAACAGTTACTACAACAAAAAGGTCACAATCAACATTCATTGCTGTCGGTGGGTTTAACTATGTGGACAAGCTCACTGAACAATGAATGCAACTGTGGCCCCACTTTTTACAATTACAGTAAAGAAGACTACTGTATGGGCTTTGAAAAGAGCACCTGAAGTGAATTTTGTTGTCTGATACCTACATTTCTTAGATCAAAAGACTGAAACATGGTTTTTGCGTGGTGTCAGGTGAAATCCAAAGGTGTGAGAATTCTGTATTTTATGATTCTGAAAACAACAGCATTTTTCACTGCAAGTCTTTACATAGTTTTTCAACTATTTTTAAATGTAGTTTGGACCAAAATGAGTGTCAGGACCTTTGTCTAAGTGAGGCTTATAGGTTTTTCAGCAAAGCTTCTTACTCCCCTCAGACAGCATACAGATGGTCCAAGACAAGAGACTTACGTTCTATATATCATGGACTAAAATCCACAGGGTAGCATTATAAGGAAGACATATATATGTTTTTCCTGGAGTTGGTAATTAACAAGAGAAAGGAGGAATCACAATTTCCTTAGCTGACTGGGTCATACTTAGGCCTTGGAAAGGCAATCAAGGCAAACACTGCGAAGAATTTGTAGGGGCTTCCATTGACAAGACCTATCTCCCATCTCACGAATGACTGAGCCGACAGAAATCACATGCAAAAGAAGGTTCCTTAACCTTCAAATCCATCTAATTCAGTATTGTGACTGACTGGAGTTTCGGACAAGCACAGTTCCCAGCATTGTCAGGGCTTCTGGCCTACTATCCTACTGAACTGTGGCCATTCACACAGTCATATACAGGTTCTGAGACAAAATGTACAGTACTTTTCTTATTTTCCTTCCAGGAGATATTTTCATACCTTAAAAATCTTGGTAGCAGTATGGGATCTGTGTGTGCTACTGTGACAACAGCGAATTTTGTTTTTGTTTTTTAATGATACTCTGTAATTTTGTGATTAATTTACAGTTAAGCTTTAGAAGTGTGTGTCTGGGTGCTTTCTTATTTTTACTGTGGTTTTTCTCTTGTACGTGGTTGTTAGAGTAATATATGTGCCTAGGATCTCTGCAATTTTCCAACAGTGAGATGTCCTGTGCAGTTGATGCTACCAACACTCATTTATTAAAAGTATTTTAAGGTGCACCTATAACTAACTAGTTAGCTGGACGGACGGACGGACGGACGGACGGACGGACGGACGGACGGACGGACGGACGGACGGACGGACGGACGGACGGACGGACGGACGGACGGACGGACGGACGGACGGACGGACGGACGGACGGACGGACGGACGGACGGAGATAGATAGATAGATAGATAGATAGATAGATAGATAGATAGATAGATAGATAGATAGATAGATAGATAGATAGATAGATATTTTTGTTCAAAGGACAGCTTAGAAAAGATAGTTTACAGCACAAAGGTGTAATCATAATTATGTAATTATAACTCTGATGATTATGAGAACTTGGTTTAAGAGCATAATGCAGAAGATTATAACAGCTTTAACAAATTGCTTGATCATCGTTCATTTGCAAGTGTTTTTATTCCCCTTATATTTTATGATTTGATCAGAAGAAACTGGAGGCAGAAACTGACAGGTCTTAAGAAAATAAATATTCTGTAGACACAAAATGCTAGATGAATGCCATTCATGATGAAATGACTAATTTGTTAAAGCATCAAAGAGACAGATCCAGTTGAAACAAGATTTACTTTGCATGAAAAGTGTTCTATTTGTCTCTTACTATTTTCCAATATTTGGTTACCTGAAACAGTTTATAACAAAGGCATCATTACAAAGGCAATAAAAAGCACAGTCTGGCCCAAGGATACAACGTTGCTGATAAATAGCACAAATGCACACATACATTTACTTCCTTCATATCTCAGAATCATTGCCTTGGGACAATACCAGTTTTGGAGGTATTTGATTTCTTTCTGTTAGGATTAAGTCCCTGGGTGGAAGTTAAATAAAGTTTATGTTTATTTATACAAGTAAATGAGAGCTTTAGGGACTGCAAATAATTGGAAGACACTTTATAAGTATTAAAGGGGCACAGCATTACCTCTTTAGTAAAGGTGAACCATTATGAACTTCAGAATTCTTAAGGGCTATTACTTGTTACACTAATAACTGGGAGTCTCTTCACACATAATTAAAATAACTATTAAGAAGTAAAGACTGCCTGGTTATTCTAGTAGGAGCTTATCACGATCCATATAATGACAAACTGCTTTTGTTTTGTAATTATTTGTTTGCATGTCTGTTGTCTTAGAAACAGAGCACTGAATAATTTACATGCCTGCTAACATAGCAAGCGGAGGTAAGACTTATTTGTGTAGACTTTGTGTGCCATGAAGGAATAGCATATTACCAGGTGCTTCATATTTTTTTAAAAAAACAATTCCCTGGAGATAGGCTCTCATGAAATTTTCTACACTCACATGCCAGAATAATGCCTTCCCAAGATATTATGCAAACTGAAGCTGGTGACAATAAAACTATGCAGATTTACAACTGCTAGGTCATAGGACACCAGATGACAATTGCTGTGCCTCACTGGCTCTTCAGGTAGGCAGACAAATTTCATGCAAACAATGCAGGAGAAAGAAGCTTCCTTAATAGTGGTAAGGCTCATTAGCTTAGCACAAAAGCTTCTGCGTGACATTTGTGCAACATCAGTACCTCAAAAAGTCAGGAGCAAGGAGAGAGAACTAAAGAAAAAGTTGGTTGGTACACACCCTTGGATCACTTGTGCCATTCAGAAACTATCAAGGAGTGTGGTGCCAGACTCATGACTCCTGAGAGTTCCTGTTATACAAGCTTTGGCATCAATGGGCAGGGGAAAAACTAATTATAAGCTAGTGCTGTGTCCACTGACCCAGAAGCAATATTGACCCCTCTTAACATTGTGAGTGTCCCCACTTATGTGATATCACAAATATCCACCTCTATAACATTACAAGAGTCCACAACTATGACACTATATTTCCTACCCCTCATCAAGTTTTGGCCTTAAAACCTCGGGCAATAGGTTGCTGCCGATCTGGAAACCCTATGGATTGATTAGGACCATAGTATGTGGAAGCCACCATTGTTCCTTTGTCCTGTGATCTCAATAGTACCTTTTTTTAAAAAATCAGATGTTTCACTTTACCTCAAAACAATCTCACCAAAAACTCCTCTTCAGAATCCTCTGCAGCAACTCTTGAGTGCAGAGGAAGACAAGGAAGAAGAAAGCAACAGGCAGACATGGGTCTATTAACAGAAAAATCTCTTTAGCAGTACAGTAAGCCCTAGATGTTTCCTAAGGCAATACAGGTCAAGGACAACATTTGGGCCTGAAAGGAGATGGAAATCCCAACATTTATGAGGGTGCATGGAGAATGAATTGTAAGTAAACACACAATTTGCGACATTTCAGAATATCATTTCTGGTCATGGGCATATTGATTACAATATGTTAGCTTCTAGAGTTTCCTGGCTTTGTGGAGTCTGTGGCAAGACAATACAGGCCTTGCCTCATAGTCACTGAATATTGATTAGAATACAACAGGAATGCCAATAAAGTGCAGAAGAGCAAGGCAGTAATGGAATTTCAGCTCAAATACAGCAGGTAAGTTGATGGCACTAAGGCATTAATCAAGGCATGCCCAATGAATGCAGGAAAAAGCAATAAAATAAGAATATAACAATATGTAAATAAAGTTAGGGAGCTCCCACTCTGGTGTAGTGAATAGAGTAACAGACTAGGATTCAGGAGGCCTGGGTCTGACTCCCCATTAAGCTATGGAAATACACTAGGATGTATGGAACTGGTACGACCACTCAAATATCTCACCTTGAAAACTCTATTGGGGCATTTCTTAGGGTCTGACTTAAAGGCAGATAACAAACAGTGATTTAAGAAAGGGAGAATTTGTCTTAGTAAGAGAATACACAAGACAGAGAAGATTTACAAGAGGCGTCTGACAGACATAAAAATAGCTTTCTTTCATACATATTTCCATGACTTCCAGCTTTTTGGAGGTCTATTTGAAGTCCATCTAACTCAGAGGCATAAATCCCTATGGTCATCCAGGTGTTTCCATGAGTTCTAGTTATCATAGGCAGTGGTCGAGAATGGTCAAAGATGTAAACCATAACATCTTGAGGGTTCCAGATTGTTCACCTCTAATATAGCCAACATTCTGTTTTTCATCAGTAACTAATCTTATGTATCCAGGAAAAAGACAAAGAAGGAAGAAAGGCAACAGCTTCCCTCTATTGCTTGTCCCTACATTTGGGGCTGAATCCAGTAGTAAGGCCCAACTAAAGTAGTCCCATTTATGAATGTGAGTTATTACATCTGAAGTAATCAGGCAACTATGGTTGGGACTAAACATGGAATTTGGGAACTAATATTCAACAGCACACCAGCTCTGAATATGGTGGGCCTATTTAGGTGTCCTTGGT